TGTTCTCCATTGAATTCCAAGCCAACATAAACTAAACGTGCTTGTTGTTCTGTTTGTAAAACTTGGGTAAAACTTCAAATTTTATAATTAGGTAAAAATGTTCAAAAGTTATAAAACATAAACTTCTTCAAAAAAGATTTATAAAATTTTTTATAAAAAAATCTCGTGTTATGCATGTACTTTTAAATAAAAGGCATTTTCTTCTACCTATGTGCATTATTGTTGTTGATAAATTTGTATTTTTTAAGAGAAAGTTTCTGCTAATATCAAAAGTTGGCAACAATGAAGTGCATGGACCGATTAGCTGGAAACACATGGTTGCTTTTATCGTGTGACTTTGACGTCTCATGAGTTTTTGAACTGATTGGATAAAAACACGTGGTTATATCATTATCATGTGACTATGACTTTACATGAATTGAGGCTATTGTAAAAAAATTTGAACTCTTTCAAACTTCGAAAGCATTTCAAACAGTTTCTTGTCATATGCATACTCTTTCATTCCATTTACCAATATTCATAATTCAAAAAGCATAACCATAAAATATGTAGGCTGATGTGAGACTTTCTTTACATTATTAAGCATCTGTTTGTAAAATTGTTTTTATCAATACTCCTCGATAGTAGTGATAAAAACATACAGAATGCTTTCATTTACCCTTTAGCGGGCAGTGGTTAATATGTCTAGCCACATATTAAAATTTTTTTTCTCAAAGCGGGTGTTGGATATTTAGTCTATCTATATGCGTTAATTGAAGCTAAAACTCATAAAAATTAATACGGATGGCAGAACGATACCTTTTGTTTCATTTCAGGTCCTCTGATGGGTAGTTAAAAACAGTTTTTCTCGAGAGATGTAAATTTACAAATTGTATTTTGATACTATAAATAAAATTTCTGATATTTGAAAAAAAATTCGACATGCCTTAAGTGTACTTTTTTCTCATCTGAATGAATTAAGCAAATGTACAATTAAAAAAAAGTTTTATTTAGGTTCTTGGAAATCTTTAATATGTGGATAGAGGCTCTAGCCACTGACCACATAGAACAGAAAAATGACCTAGAAATTTTCACTTTTCCTGTAGTCGAGGGAGAGCATTGAGCAACTTAAGGATGTTGGGGGAGGGAAATATAAACAAACTTTGTTTACAATATGGGGTACAAGATTCTCGGGTTCGAAAATCTTTCATTGCAGCTTTCCTGCTCAGAGAAAACGTTTGAATATTAAGTTCTCAGTAAATAGCTCATCAAATTTGGGAAATAATTTATTTAAATTCTCAAAAATATTACTTTATTTCTAACTTTTCATACTAAAATTAAATAAAATATAAAATGTGGATATATACCATATGCTCAATGTATATTCTATGTATTCTATATATCTTCTATGTATGTGTGTGTATGTGTTCTATGTTGTACAATTATTCTATTCTTATTAAATTACACTTATACTTTGTATTTAATTGTTATTTAAATAGTTATTAAATAAATGTTAATTTTTCATAAAAAAAGTTTATTGCAATATGATTCATTATTTCTGTCCTGAAAAGTAAGTTAAATGTTTTAAATGCGCAGTGGCTATAACGTCTAGCCACCTCCCAGGAAAAAATCCCACGATTAGATATTTTTTTGTGACTAAATAATGTTTATAGAAGATGAGAAGATTACATTTATCAAGTACTTTATCACAGAAAATTGTATTTTAGCTGTGTGCCCGTTAAAGCGTTAAATATCCTTTCTGCGCGTTTATGAATTTGACTTATTTTGGGTGAAATGGTAATGCAGAATCGACACAAATCAATTTAGTAGTATAGTGTGACGTTTGTCCAGGCACGCAAATGGATCTCAAACACCATTTTAGTTATCCTTCCATTGTTGGTGCCCTTTTTAAAATAGTCAATGACTGCAACATGGGCATTCTTTCCTTGGATCGTGCCATGGATATTGCTAAGTCAGTGATTCACGCCTTTGGCGATATTTGACTATATTCTTATGTTTTATTATTACTATCTCTGCACTTTGTCATGCCCGACAACAACAATAAATAATTGGTTTATTTATGCCTAGTTAATAATTACAGTACATTTACAGTGAAGTTATTCATAAGATGGATTGTTCATTAGTTCATAGCATGTTATTTGTGAGGGAGAATAACAGAACCACAATATTAAGAGGCAAAATAGAAGGAGATTTTCCTCGCAATTTTCCTTTTTCTTTCTGTACAGGGTGTTGGACAATCTTATTTTGCTTGTTACTATATATTCATTAATTAAATTCAATTATTTTAATAAAATAATATAGTAAAGAAGAAATTACATTCTCAGAAATTAGGCCATCCCAGGTGGGATTCGAACCCACGACCTTTGTCTTAGAAGCCTATTGTGCTGATTGATTGATTGATTGAATATTAACGTCGCACTGTTCAACTACATGAGGGCTTTTAGCGACGGACCACGTAATTTTGAACCATGGTCAAGTGACGTGGACGACACCTGAGCTGGCACCCCCCTCTCCTAACTACCACACAACACCAACGGGAGGACGTTTCAGCTCTCGACAGATTTAACGTGCATCACTGCCCTACACGGCGGGTCTTTAGTGGTACTGAGGCTCGAACTCGTGACAAGGCAAGCCATGGTCCGATACCTATACCATTCGGCTACCGCCGCCAGAGGCTATTGTGCTATAGGGACACAACGAACGATTTTCATTTCTATACATGGTGTTATGCTATTATTTTTGTTTGTTACAATTTATTCATTAATTAAATAGAATTAATGAATTAATATTTGAAAACACTATGCACCATCCACTAGAAGTTTTAAAAAATGTATTTGAACTTGAATTGCTAAATAGAAAATATTTTATAAACAATTAAAAATTGAACAAGAAAATATATACACAATGAGGTATAAAACCGAAGTATAACTAGTCAAGATAGTATATAGGAAATGTTAGCCACAGTATATACGAGGTTTGGGGAATAAGTCAAGGCAACTTTTTTTTCCTTGTAGGTATGTGAACGGATCACAAACATATATATGTGGTGTGTAAGTTCTGCAGCCATAGTGTGTAGGCAGAACAAAAGATGGCTCTGTGATAGCTGATAGTAGCGCATCGAGAGCTGTGAAATCAGTCAGTTGGTGAGTGTCGTGTGAGTAATCCGTATTGAGCAGCGTGCTTACATCAAAATAGCACAGTACTACAGGGACTTCCTGGTGCGACAGGTACGACGTGGCATTCGTGACAAAACTCCGGATCTTGTGGACAGTGCAATATTCCTGCACGACAATGCAAGACCACATAAAGCAGAGTGTGTACGGCAGCTACTCTGACGTTGAGAATGGGAAGAATTGGTGCACCCACCGTACTGTCCCGACATTTCTCCCTGTGACTTTGATCTCATTCCCAGGATTACCGAACCAATAAGTGGTAGGCGGTTTGCAACACGAGAGGACATTGCTGATGCTGTGCGCCAACAGGTGACCCAATTCACACATGGTGCGGCAAATGCTGAGGTTGAAGGTATTCAGTGCCTCCCACATCGTTGGCAGCGTGGGGTGACAACAGCAGGGGACTACATTGAAGATCTTTAGGCCCAGGTTTGTCATGTCAACTTTATGTGTACTGTTTTGTCATTCTTTTGCACAGTGAAGGCCATATTGCCCTGTATACTACCTTAATAAATTAGTGTGCGTACGATATTTCAGTGTTATTCATTGTCCACACATGTAGTTAACACTTCGTTCTTTCGTCTCTATATGACATATTTTCCAACCGGACTGGTATCTTCAAGAAAAAAATTAGTTCCCATGACTTTTACCCCAACCCTCGTGTATGTATATATATGTGTGTGTGTGTGTGTAATAATTCCCTCTAGCATCCTTTTAATCAATTCTTTTTTAATTATCTTAAATAAGCTTTTAACTCTTAGGTTCAATACTAAGGCCCTAATCTTAATCGTAATCAACTAGTATTATTACATCAGAAATCTCTTTCCCACCCATTTTAAGCAATCAGAGATCTTTTTACAAAGGAGTCACGCGATCTTCACTGCAGGTGTAAGAAGCGAAAGTCCTCTTGTGTTTCCCCCTTCATATCTTTGTGTTCGTCCTCTAATATGTCGCTGCTTCTTGCTTTCGTCTGTTTGCTTTGGTGTTTTAGATGTTAGGTTTTATGTGAACCGCTGTAATGTCCCGATCAAGAATAAATAAATAGTAACAAAATGTGAAAAGTTTCCTCCAACATGCCACGACTGCAAAACAAATAGCACAACCCAGGGCATTACATATACATACATCCATATATATATAATAATAATAATTCCCTCTAGCATCCTTTTAATTAACTCTTTTAATTTTTTTAAACAAGCTTTAATTCTTTGGTTCAATGCCCTAATCTTAATCGTAATCAACTAGTATCATAAATCCCTTTCCCGCCCATTTTAACCAATCAGAGATCTTGTTTCAAAATAATCGCGCGGTCTTCACTGCCGGGTATAAAAAGCGAAAATCTTTTGCGATATCTCTTTTTGTCTGCTTGCCTTCATCATGTAATCACCGCCGTTTGCTTTTTTGTCTCCGCCTCGTCCAAGTAAAAATGTACATATAGCTCGTTTATCCTTTATGTCTATGTTGGTTCGTGTGCTTATTGTGAAGTCGTAACATATTGTTGTTTCATGAGAAAATAGAGAGTAAAATGGAATCAGAAGTTCTCCGCTTATTCAGAAACAACCAACATAAATAAACCAACACCGGCCAAAGATACTATAGATATAGAGAGATAATGAACTGTTGTTGTTGTCGTGTGTTTATTACTGGGATACATACGAAAGACGTGAAATAGATGAACAGAAACATATAACACAACCACAGAAGAACACAGATTTATTACAAACGATGATCCCAGCATATAACAAGATGAGGTGCGCTGCTTTCCTTTCTAGACGGGAATCCTTTTCAGGCGAAAGACCGACTTCTTTCCCGAAGAAGATACAACCAAGTCTTACTCGGGATTCGAACCCGAACCCACTCGGTTACAAGCCGAGGGTCATAGCCTCCATACTGGCTGGGCGACAGATAGTGAACTAATAGCAGGAATTGAAAAATAGCACACATATTGTGCAACCAACAATTTTAGGACAATGTTAAACATTATTAGAGACGTTTAAAAATTCTGTATCGAGACCGATAGACTGAAATTAATATATGCACGATAACAGCTTTGCAGTCATTCCATCCATATAAAACTCTGAATGACCCAATTCGAACCCAGAACTAGACAGGTACCTTTCAAAGAAACTGTGTAATCAGAAACAGTTTATACAGTGCTGTATACTCTGATCTACGTACAGCACATGATTCACGTAATTATTCACACATGTTTAAATGAAGATTGTTTGATTTTCGCCTTCTGGGAAATCTAGCGACGTGACGCAATGAGGTGAAATCTTCGGAAGAATGGCGGTAGCTAAGTGCAAAAGGCGAACATGTAAAAAGTGGTCAGATTTTTGCCGTGACGAATAAAACGCTCTAAATGTAATTGGGTTTTCTGTTTATAAATATCAAATTATGGGGATTTAATATTTTTACAGGCTTTTGAATGTTATTTGCATTTAAGTTTGTAACAGGTTCAAGTTTCTACTAATTTTCTTGGGAAAACTATTCTTTTTAACTGCGATTTTAGTTTAAAAACTACTGTCCGTAGAAATGGCTTGGTTTTGTACAAATCTAAATGCATTTTAAGCCCTGATGTTTGGGTGTATGAATTCATGGTTGATCGTTAAGTGATAATCGGGAAATCTAAGAAGGAGAGAAAGTTAATTACGTCTGCAAAGTCACGTGTCCTGAAATTAATATTCATCTTAGAATCCACCGGGAGTTGTGGAAGTAAATATCATTAGAGCTGACCGAGCTATCAGGGTTCGAGAAGGATTGTTATAAGGAGCTCCGACTCAAGATAAATTATTTTGAATAATCTTACATGTTAGAGATGAAGTATTAGGATTTTAGATTGCTCCCCAAAAACAATAAAATTGTATATCATTTGAAAATGTTAAAGCTAGAGTAAAAGTAACTATTTTTAAGATAATGTCTGCTTCTTCCCGGAACCCACTTACACCCATGACCTTCGGGCCGCGACAATTGTAAAAGTTAATTGGGTAAATAAGTCATTTCACTATAAATGAAGTTCGACCTAGTTTGGCTTTTTTCCCTTTAAAAGACATCCAATGTCAAAATGCCATTTTCTTTTTATCTGCAAGTAATAAGTTGAATTCATACGACGTCCCAATCACATGATAAAAGCAGCCACGTATTTCTAGCCAATTAGTTTATGCTCCTCCCTGTTGCCAACTTTTGCATTTTACGGAAACTTTCTTTTAAAAAATGAATATTTATGAACAATATTTTTATAACATATAAAGCCCACCTAGGTTAAAAATGCGCTTGCTTAAAGTACCCGAATAACATAAGAATTTTTTTAGTTCTCAAAAACTTTATAAAAATGTTAATATTCAAACCTTTTTAATCAATTTGTAAATTTGAAATTTTATCTAGATTTTATAAGTACAAATCTAATGTCTGCTTGGAATTCAACGGAAAACTTGCGTTTATATTTCTCATGTGATCGTCATAAATTCAATTCATTGTTAGTACCAAGGAATGTCATACACAAGATATTTTATTTTGCAGTCGAAAATGTATTGAAATTTGTATTACGCTTTATAAGCTGTTTCACGTAAACATAGTTGTTTCTATAGAGGCTAAACGGTTTCTGGAAAATAAATCTGCTATCAATTGCGCATACTTCAGCGTTTCTCAAACTGTGGGGCGTGACCCCAAGGGGGGCGTCATAACTCTACAAGGGGGCGCGAGCATATTGAAAAGTCGAAAACAAAAGATTATTTTAAAAAATTATTAATTTATAGAAGGTAAGCAAACAAAATACATTCTGACATAATAAAAAATAAAATACGCTTTTACACTGATAAATGAATTAGAACTGCACAATGTATTTTATAACTAATTTAACAATGCTAAGTTAAGACTACCAGTGACCCCATGTCATATAAAAAATTATATCCAAAATTGATATTTATCTTGATAAATTATGCGGTTTATGATTAATCCCTTACCTGCCGATTAAAAAAAAGTTGCGTGATTTGATCTCTAATGCCACCGTTGTCCACGTAGGCACGCGTATGTGATGTATTGGAGGGGGAGAAAAGGAATAAATAAGCAAATACTCTGAAATAAGTAAATACTTCGCAAACGCTGTCAAAGTATTTCTATTGCATTCCAAAGCTTTCGGAATAATTTTATGGATAACAGTGCACAGAAGAGACCATACTTCGGAAAAACGCATATATACGTCCGAGACAATTAACACTTTGGCTGAGTGCATTTAAATACACTGCGTTAAGAGGTGTCGATTGTAGCCTTAGCGTCAAAGTGTAGTATTATTGAATTCAATACATTGTTGCTGTAGGGAGGGATGCAAAGAAAATTATGATTGAACATAAATAGTGAAAGTTTGAGAAGCACTGACATACTTCGTTTTCCGAAACTTTACTTGCAGTTTGAAAAATTCTCAAATTAACTGTCTCTAATATATTTCAGTCCTCCCTAAAATGAATGGGTGAGAATATAGAAGAGTAAACCTGTATTACCCTAAATCAGCAATAATAGAGTAATGTTAAATCAGATTTAAGCATATTTTATGTATTTGCTTTTTCATAACCGAGAGAATTTTTATTCGATCTCGAAAATTGTCTTTCTTATTAATAGACTTTCCTTTTTGGTGATATTTTGAATGTGCAGAAAATGTTCGCGTGGACATCCAATCAAAGGTCATCGGGTTAAATTCTGAAAAGTCACATGATGCAGACAATGACATGTTCTCCATTAATTCTAATCTGACATTACACTAAATTTGCTGTTTCTATTTGTAAAATTTCAATAAAATTACAGATTTTAAAAATTGGGTAAAGATGCCAAAATTTTTTGAAAAAATTCATCAAAACGATTGAAAAAATTTGAAAAATCTCATTTTATCTGTGTAAAAGTGTGTTTTGTTTATTTATGTTGGTTATTATTGTTGAAAATTGTGTAGAGAGTTTTTAAAAGAAGTTCCTACAAAAAGCTAAAGTTGGCAACGGTGAAGTGCATGGACTGTTTTTCTGGGAGCCTATGATTACATTTATCATGTGACTATGACGTCTCAAGAATTTATGAGCTGATAGGTGGGAAAAACCTGATTGCAGTTATCATGTGACTATGACGTCCCATAAATTTATCTCATTACTTTTATGGACATTTTTAAGAGGTATAGATGGAGATGGATTAATAAAATTCGAGCTATTGTTATATATATAATTCCCTTTTAAGTTTTAATCGGTTTAAATAAACTATAAAAGAAACATATGTTTCTGAATTGAAGTTATTTCTTAATAAAATGATAAATAAGCAAAAATAATTGTAAGTATTGTTGAAATATTTTGATATTTTTATTATATAAGGTAATAGATTCTTTGTTATTGATTTTTAAATTTTTGTTTATTTCATACTATTATACGAACTAAGAATAATAATATATATATATAAATATATGAATATTATTGTGAAAATTGATTTCATAATTTAATTGCATGCGCCATACAAAAAATGTGTGAACTGTGTAAAATTCACGAAATAAAACAAATGCAAATAAATAGCAAAAAATGACAGAAAAAAACCCAGACGAAGTTTCTGTTTTTTTGAGGTTTTTAGATAAAAAACAAGACAGTTATTGATACTTACGCAACTGGCGGCACTAAAAAGAGTTATTTCCTAAAATCAGTAATGCTATATTTTACGTTATAAAATATTTTTGGACAATTCGCACCTTTAGAAAAGCCTCGTAAAACATGAGTGTAAGGAAACGAACTGACAGAAAGGTATATTGATCGGATATATTTGTTTTTTTTTTCTTTTTGAAATTAAAATGAGTCAATTAATATTTTAGGAACCTCTTACTGCAATTGTTTTCATAATGTTCTTTTGCTGATTGACCAACCATGCGTTTCATGCTTTGCAAGTTGTTTCATTTGATGGTTATTTTTACGTAATTGCGCTTTTGTTTTTGCTAATACCTTTAGGTGATTCGTAGAAAAAACATTGCATCATGTAAGCAGTAGGGCGCTTGAAAAGCATTTGTCGTTCTTTAATTTCTAATTATTTTGCTTTAAAAACGAATGTTTATGGTTATTACAATTGATTTAAAAAAATCTGATGACACTTTTGTCGTATAATAGTAATGATTATCTCATGTAACAAAAGTGCCCTGCGACAATTTTATTTTTTTTTCAAGCGTAACATCTGTTATTGTTTCGACGATGCTCTAATACGAAAAAAGAAAGATGAAACCGACAAAATTAATGGTTTTAATGGTTTGAAATATCATGCATTAAAAAAAGTGTCAGTAAAGCAAGTAATTGACATTTAACACGCTTTTAAAATCTTTTATTTTAGTACAATGTATCAAATTTTAATTGCTTTGAATAAAGATTTAAAATATTTTGTTCTGGAATCATAACAATGGAATTATTATACATGTATCATATCTATTTTGTGAAAAAACTTTTCATGTGCGTGCAATTAATGTGTATATTTTCCCCTCTACACACTCTTTCTCCATGTAACAATATATATATATATATAATTGTTAAAAACAATTCTTCAAGAGTTGTAGAAATCTGGGAGAAAAAAAAATCAAATTCTAATTGAAAACTGAAAATTTTTTCTGTGCAATATATTGCAAAGAATAGTTTTAGAGTCAAAAGCATATTTTAAACATTTTAAACGGAATAAGGCATTTTTGATGTCGAGTTCTCTTCCGTCAATTTTCGTTTTTATATTTATCCAGATGCCAGGTTAATGATAATAATAAAATCTCAATTTTGAATATTTACGTTACATTTATAGCGCTTTATTGCAGATTTACAGAAGCTAATATATTAAAAAAAGCTTAAATATATATTTAAATTTTTTTAGTGAAAAGTGCCAAATATTTTGTATAAATGAGCTTTTAGTGTA